CTTTGCGAACGAGAGTGACGGGGGCTGTTAGTCCGCCTCCCCCTAGTATCCCTCCTGGTGTTATGTCGTTGGGGTTCCAAGTCTGCCATGGGAGGGACATAAGGTAATCCTTCACGCCTTGCGCCCCCATCTGGAGTTAGCCCGTCAATGGCGGACTGCGGCAATTCTTCAATGTGTGCCATTGTTTGAAAAGAGGAGAAGCTTAATCAAGAGGTTTTGTTCTGTCTGTTTTTCCCACAGACGGCGCCAATTGTACGGGAAAGAAATATACCTTCTCGTATAATCCTGTTGACCAAGTCTGCTCCTCCGTACGTCGTCGCTTTTCCACCTGAAAACACAAACGTGAGCTAGCCGGCGGGTGTGTGCCGGAAACCTCTCTGATGCCTAAGTCAGCAAACTTGACAAATAGACAAAGCTCTGTGTATTCAGAAAGCAAAATTGTGTGTTACCTCTCCAAAGGTGATGTTTGAGAGCTTTTATAGGTTTCGTGTGTCATAATCCTAGTAGGACTTCTATTCCTCCATGCAGAGTCCTCCTAGGATTTATACTCCTGAAAGATAATGCTTATCCTTCAACACCCCCCTCACTGCTTAAACCAAGTGAGATGGTTTTTATCATGGCCGAACTACAACATGACCGAAATAAAACTGGCTATGCTGAGCCACAGAATAGGCCGAACTATCCTTAGTTCGGTTCTTCCTTTTATTTCCCCTTATCTCGGTTCTCTTCTGTACAACCCATGGTGTGTTTAAACCGAGCTACCGAGCAACAAGGTTCTGACCGTTCTAACCACAATATGTTATAACCGGACTAACTCTGAGACCGGCCTAACTACAAGTTGCCTTCGGACCGAAGTAATTTTACATTTCTTCTGGGCCGGAGTAATCTTTTACCTCTCTTGGGCCGGAGTAATCTTTTACCTCTCTTGGACCGGAGTAATCTTACAGCCTTTTTACCCAGCCCTTCGTACTTTGAGCCATAATGTCCATCTCATAGCTCGGCCCAATTTTCACCAAAATTATCCTCTCAGGGATGATGAAGTGATCAATACAATGTTGAACAAGATAGACAAGAACGTCATGATACCTGTCACCCCATTCAATTATTCAGAAATCTCCAATAAATTGAATAAGCATTGTAAGAAACGGTTGAACGTGTGGATGGCAAACTTAAGGCGTAATTATTTCAACAGTCCATGGTCTTTGCTTTCCTTTCTTGCCGCTGTCCTGCTACTTGTTTTGACAATCTTACAAACTGTATTTTCTATTCTTTCTTATGTTTCACCTAAATCTTAAATCATATCTGTCACTACAGTATCAAATATTGTCTCACCTTTTAAATAAACTTGCATAGTTAGTTCATCAGTTGCTCTGTTTTTAAGACATGTCTTATTGATGTAATTTGGATTTTGTTGTACCGCTTGTACTGCATAAATCATCAATAAATTTCCTTTTGTCCATAAAAAACAAAGAGCCTACAACAATTCCCAAGATTTAGGGGGATTGAGAAAAGGTTGTTGTTTCAATAGTTTTTTTTATTGATGTAATTGTTATGGTTGATCCAAAGAGTCCAGTTGATGGAATTCATTGAAGATCCATAAGTCATATAGGTCGTGAGCTCCTGCGAAATCGTTTCTTCTGGGGCTTACAAAATAAATTCTTAAAAATCATTTTTAACGTACTCATTATGCTTTATATCAATAAATTTTTACATTTTCCAATAATAATGTCCCCCCCTCCAAAAAAAAAAAAAAAAAAAAAAAAAAAAAAAAAAAAAAAAAAAAAAAAAAAAAAAAAAAAAGGGGAAAAAAAAAAAAAGACAGAACAAAACAAAACAAAAGAGTAAAAAGGGTGAAAGACGTAAATCAGACAAAAATAATTCATAAATGGAGAGCCGGTCAATATGTCTGGCTGCCGGGTGGATTGATAGAAAAGGGTAAATTACACCTACCTCTCTTGAAATTTGAAAAAAATAATATAATTTTTGACATAATTACATTGAGTTTTCTTGTTATTTTAATTTATGTAACACTTAATTCTTTTTTTTTATTCTTTTTTTATCAATAATTTGTTAGTTATACAGATAAAAAAAATTTGTTATCTCTTTTATACTAAAATATATATCTTATATTATTTATTTTGTGTTTTTATAATATCTATGATAGTTTGATACATTTTAATCTCATTAAAAAAAATTAATATAATTATATTAAAATTAGGGGGAGGTTATAGCGATCTCGGTTTTACCCTTGTTGTACAGTGATCCGGACATGTGTCCGTGAAAAAGAGAAATTGACTATTGTCTTGCTTTGATTGTTTGGGCAAGAGATGCGTGAAGAGAAGTGAGGAGAGCACTAATGTATGCACGAGGTGATTGAGCGGTTTTATTTTATTTTATTTTTATTATTTTAAAGATCAACAACAAGTAATATTTTATTACTAATAATCATTCAAGAACTGGGTGCAAAGAGGAGAAAACAACTATGATATTAAACTTTGCCACAACATTAATTTAATGCTTTATTAAATAAACTATAATAAAGTCACATTCAAAAAAGTTATAATATATTATCGAGTGCCACTATCTTTATTGATATACCCATTTACCATTATTGTAGTAGTGTAAAGTAAACAATAATGGATTTAATATTTCAAGCCAAAAGTTAAGGATCATGAAAATTTTGTCATGAAAATGATCATGAAAAATTTATGATCTTTAGATTACCTTGATTAGTGTGTAGTGCTTTATTCTAAGTGTAATCTTTAGATTACCTCGATTAGTGTGTGGTGCTTTATTCTAAGTGTAATCCAAGGGTCACAGTACTTTCATGATTATTTTCATGAAAAAATTTTCATGATACCTAGCATTGCTGTTATTTCAAATGATGGTTCCACCACTGCAGATTAATGTCACCCTGACCATGGTATATATTTGATTGGCTGGGTTAAAAGCTGTGTTCACGCATGTTTTTCATGAAGATCACACAGCAGGTTTTTACCGACCTAGTTTGTGTGAAATTGTTGCAAAATAGGTAGAAATCGGAAACTATGTTTTAAATTCGATTTCTGCAACCCCTATCTTTTCAATTTCTTTCATGTTTTGTTTTTATTTTTATTTTTATTTTTTATGAGGAGTCTTATCTTCTAATAAAGTAATTGACGTAGAAAACTCATCCAAAAAAATTGATAAGTTGTTCAAATTCAATTTTTATATGATAAAATTTACACTTAAAATAAATTTAAATTACATATTTTTTTTGAATATATTTTAATAAATTTTATAAATTTCTAACATTGATGCCATTTTAATAGACTCATCATGTAACTCAATTATTTATCATGAGCGGGGTTTTGTTGTGTTGGTTGGTGAGGGCTATTCTGAATTCAGATAATTCAATGTCATAGTATGTGAAAATTTAAGTTGATACGATATTAGTATTCATCTAATCATATTAGGGCTGTTCAAAAATCTGTTCAAACTGGTAATCCAGACCGAACCAGACCAAATCATATGGTTTGGTTCGATTCTATTAAGAATTGATTCGATTTCGGATTAAGAAATATGAGACCTGTAAAAACGGTTTGGTTGATGTATTTTATGAAAAAAACCACGGTTCGAACCGAATTGAACCGAATTTTAAAAGATATATATATATATAATATCAAGTTTTATTTTTATTAATTGGTTTTTTATAATTTTAATGATATTAGGATAGTATATATATGTAATATTAAGTAATGCCTTAATATTATTAGTTTTTATCATGAGTTAAATGTAATTAGTTTGAGTAATTATTTTGCTAATATTAACAATTTATTCTTGTAAATAGAAAGTTTTGGAACCGTAAACCAAACCGTTTTTTCAATTTGGTTCTGGTCCAGTTTTACAAGTGTAACGGTCTAGTTTGGTTCTCAAAATCACAGAACTGTTAGGATCGGTTCGGTTCTTAGATTTTCTCAGAACCGAACCAATCCGGACCGTGTACACCCCTAAATCAGATGATATATGTTTTGGAAAAATGAGCAATTTATTCTAAAATTACATTTACAGTCTATTTTATTAATCTATGATCCAATGTAACTAATACTTCAACAACTTTATTTTTCACATTGAATATGTGGGGGCCGAGTATTGGGAGTCGTAGAGATTCCGGATAGTCAGACCTGGGAGAATCGAAATTCGTGGCACTCAGCATTGGCTTGCAAGCTTGAATCCAACTTTACTCGGCCAAATAGCCGATTAAGCAAGGGGCCGAGTAAAGAGCGGTCTACTACAAAATGTGCCGAATATGGAGTTGGAAATGGATCTAATCCCGAGGCCCATGGAAGAAAAGATATAAATAGAAAAACATCAGCCAGAAAGAGGTATGTGAGAATTGGTGTGCTTAACTTAGAATACAAGCATTCTTGAGTGTGGAGACTGACTTGTCCATCGGAGTGCTAATTCCGGCACCCCCGACCGGAGTATTTATTCCTTTTCAAGTGACTATCAGCAGATCACGAGCTCCCCAGGATCAGAAGAGAATTTCCAAACCACTTCTTCACAGAATATTTACTTGATGAATACTATAATGCCGACAATTTAAATAGTAAGCGAAGGTGGACACCAACTAAAAGACGATTTATAGTGGCTTCATGTCAATCCCAAAAGGGTTGGGATGCTGGTTCACAAAAGCAAAAGCAACTTTAAAACAAAAAAAAGCATGCTCTCCTTTCCTCTTTCTCTCATGACTCGGTTCTTTTTATAAAGGGCCTACCTCTCATTTTCAAATTCAATCATACCCATATGCAAAGAAGGAAACAGAGTAACTAGCAAGAAAAACAATTTTGTAGTTTCTAACAAGTAAGTTCTATGTTGTTGTAAACATTTTTTTTTTTTTAAATTTTAATTTTAATTTCATGAACTACACTTCCTTCATCTGCTACATCTTTTTAATTTAATTTATTTATATTTACATATGGCAAAGCATGTAGACACTTTGAACAATCCTCTGTTTTTAATTTTTTTTTTTTAACAAATTTTATTTTTATTTTTATTGATTTTGTTTTGACAGAGTTTCTACTAATTTTATGGGATATGGTGCCCAATTCAAGAGTTGAAGATTATGTCTCCCTTCATTTAGACAATAAGCTTACTCACCTGTCTCCTAGGCACTTTGAATGTAAACCAATGATTTTTAAACCAATGAGGCAGTGGTAGCACTGCAGGAAAAATTCGATACGTATGGGTCGATTTATAAAATCATGCAGTATATGCATTGTTAATGAGGTAGTGGTAGCACGCAGGAAAATTGGCTTTTACTAATATTTCAAAAACGTCGCTAAAACTATCAAAAATGTCGGCAAAACATATATTGGTGTTTTAAAATTACATCAAGGACACGGCCGTCGCTATAACTTAGCGACGTTTTATAAACGCTGTACAAGATCTTTTGCGGCATTTTTTAAAACGCCATCATAAAAGTTGCCCTACCCACAAATGACATCATACTAACTTATAGTGGTATTTTTATTAAAACGTTTCTAAAAGCTTTTTTTTCCAAAATAAAAAAAAAATATCTGAACCTAACCAGAATTTTTTCCAAATAAATTTACAACAAAACAACAAAATCTAATCAATATATGAATTCCTTCCTCCAAAAAAAAAATTAAAAAAAATCTAATAAAAGCAAAATTCAAATTACACAATTTACAATAACTAAAACATTTGATCACCTTTAACATTCAAAATAAATTGGAACCAATTAAGCCATAAATATTTTTAGAAAAATACAAATTTGACCAATGGAAATTTATGACATAACAAAAAATTAAAAATATTTACAGACGTGAGCATATCATGACACACTACTACTTCATGGCATTAAGTTCACTTTTTGCCATGGCTGCTAAGGTGGTACTCCAAATGCATGCACTTAAAACAAAATAAGACATCTATGAGAATTGGACAAGTTGTTTGGATACAATAAAAACATTATTAGACATTATCAACAGGAATGGTACACATTAACAAATTACTCAAAAGTAATTATAAGTAATTAACAGTAACAAACTAATGAGGGCAATGTTATGGAACAAACGTGATAATGACAGAAAGAGCACTAGCAGCCATCATGAAAAAACCAAAAATAAATAAATAAATAAAATTCAAAAGGCACTAAGATAATTGAGAGTAAGAAATAAATCTAGTATGTACTTATTGTAGAAAAAAAAAATTCAGACACATACCAAATGCAACTCCAACTGTTGTTTGCATGGTTCCTACAATGCAGCCATTAGTAATCATACTCATACATATACTTCAGACATTAGCATGAAGAATCCCATCCCACAATGATGGTTTCAACCAATTCTAATTCACAAATCATTTGGAAATTCATAGATGGACTTTCTTTCTTATTAAGTCCATATGTGGCCTTTTTGAAACTAAATATATGCAAACATGGGCAACCATAGACAACCCTCCAAAACTCAGAGGGGCATGCAAACTAAACAAGTACAAAGCCAATGTGCTCCATATACTCCCACTATCACACAGAATATTAGATGTTCTGTCAAGTGATCGTTTATAGCCCTAGGATTTCTAAATCTAGCATATTAAATAAAAGAAACATTATTCTCACCAATTGTGACCCTGTTGGAAATTCTTTCGGATGGACAGTCATCCAATCCCTGTCCTCAAAGTTGAAGTCATTCTGTCAACAAAGAATCAACAACCACCAAAATGACAATGAGAAAGCAAGAAAGAGGAGCTAAAAACAAACAAAATAGAACAATCAATGATAGTTATTAGTAAACCCCAACTGTAGTCGAGCAAGGCCATTTGAGAAAATATATAACTAGGACTTGCATCATTAATCATATCCACTCTAGTATATATTTTTGCAGCAATCCATTCAAGCATACACATATTTGAAACAATGATTATGTTTATGGTGAAAATTTCTACATATAAGCACAACCTGAAGTTGTTAATTATCCAAAAGCAAAGCCAGTTCGTCATAAAGATTTTTAGAAGCTAACAAGAAAAAGCTAAAACCCAATAGCAACGAGTAGAAGATTAGCAGTAATTTCGAATTGTATACAAAACATTTGTGTTAGGTATTTATTCTTGGCAATCCCGTTTGACAAAACTCCTTTAGGTTGTAATTTTATTTGAGCATATATTTTCAGTGAGGTTATGAGTTTTTAAATGCGAATCTAACCCGAATTGTGCCTATGTAGAGGAGTTTGTGATCTTATCCTATCATGTTTGCCACTTTGTTCACTATGTTAGGGATCGCTGGAAGTTAGGATTTTACGCTCGAGTGAACTTTACTGCACTCGAGCGAGGTTAGCTCAAGCAGCCATTCTTGCGCTCAAGTAGAGATCGCGGATCAGTTTTCTATAAATATGTGGTTTCATCCGTTTTTAGGGTTACGACTTCCAGATCTTCTTCTTGGATATTAGGGTTTATATCTAGAGCTTCTTCGCTAGTTTCTTTGATGGTTGTTTGAGTTTAACTCATGGTTTGAGAAGTATACATCAAAGGATTGGTTGTTTCATTCAATACAAAAGAGAGAGTTGTTCTTCTGTGGATTCTGTGGAATTTGGGCCTAAAGCTTTGGTGAATTCTGGAGTGGCTCATCATCGTGGATTCGACATTGGTGTTGTGGATTCAACATTGGGCAAGACAATTCCGAGGTGAAGACCATGGTGGAAGAGGCATGTAGGGGTCAGTTCAATTCGGGCGTGGATTCGCTAGGTAATTGAGAGTACACTTATGTAATTCCTTTGTCTTCTTAATGGATTACTTTGTGGCTTTGGCCCGTGGTTTTTTTTATCACAATTGGAGGCGCTCCAATTGTGGTTTTTCCACGTTAAAATTGTTGTATCGATTTGTCTTGATTGTTTAATTGGAATTGTTATTTACTACTTAAAATTGATACATAATCACAAATCAAAATCTAGGGGATTTTTAGATTTTTTCAATTTGTAACCAAAAATAAATAAATCACAATCATACTGATTTTTGCCACTATTTTTGTTTGCATTAAAATCAATAAATATTTAAGGATTGAGCCTTACGACCTTTCAACAATAATCTTACCATGGAATATACCGAATCCGATAGCAAACAATCCAAATCTAATGCATTTACAGGCCTAGCCCAGACATAGACACTACAAATTTATGATTATTAAAAGCTCAGTTTACCTTTGCTTGTAAAACATCATAGTTTTTGTATGAGCACCTCGTCCCCGTCTTATCAAGCTTCTTCTTCATAAGAAAATTGAAATCATTAGCTCAGCAACAAAAGTCAACTATCTGTTTAGAGAAGCAATAAACAATTAGGCACTTGATGTTGAATTCACCCCATGTGAAGGAGGTGATGCTCTTCCATGGGAACACACCTTGGTCAACAATGGAAGGCCACCAACCATCTTGAAGAGTCAAGGATGGAGGCTGCCCAAAGGCTCTCCCACCTACTCCCTCACCTATAAATGGAGGTTGAGAGGAGAGAGCAAAATGTGAGCAAACCGTGAGACAACAAAGAGAGTGAGAGATGTGAGGCGGAGAGACCGTCTCCCTCGGTGTGAGCGAGGGAGACGGGTGAGTGGCTGAGTGAGGAGAGTGTGAGCTCCTCCTCTATTGTAATCTTTCTGTAATCTCCTCATTGGTATAGTGATAACCGGTTACTCTCCCGTGGACGTAGGCATTGGGCCGAACCACGTAAAATATTGTGTCTCCTTGTGTGTGGGTGTGTTTTTCTGCTTGTTTTGATTTCTATAAGGTCTTGGGCGGGATCCCAGATCCCAACACTTGAAATCGAAAGTTGCAATACTGAGAGTAACTAGTAAATCACATTATATACTCGATTATCATCTACCGTTTACATTGACAAATTTTAAGAAGATTGCGTCCTGCAGCACCATCCACCACCCCAGTACCCCTTGTTTTCAATTTCTTCACAATTATTGTACTTTTCAATTAAATTTTATATAAAAAATGATCTAGGTAAATGATAATAATACTAATGGACAATATTATCAATTGCAAGCTATTTAGCACTTTTTAAATGTTACCCCCAAATGTACATTTGCATAGTGAAAGTATTGCTTGATTTCAAAGGACTTCCAAAATAAACATTCGCTGAAGATATGTATTCTCTTGAAAGAAGCTATGCTAGCCACTAAACATACTCTCAGCTGTTATCTTTATCACAAAAGACCATAATTTATATCCAACATCATATTAAAGCATGCCCAAAGATACTTCATGCAACGACAAGGATTATGGTGAAATCACATCTTGAGACAATGAAATGAAAGTATCAAACAATTGAGAGATAGACAACGTGAGAGAGTGAGAAAGAAAGAATAGAACACAAATCCTTACCATGTCACCATCTTGTACATAAAAATGAAGCACATCAACAATCTACACATTGAGAATTAATTTTTAGCATTCATATAAGAATGACTCTTGTGGTCAATGCTTTATCCATATATGAGCAGAATCAGAACATGAGATGGAGAAACAAAAGATAATATCCTCCAGAAAATAGAGCACTCTGTTGTCAATTATGGAATCTAAACCAATCTAACTTGTCTCCAAAGCCAAATGACCGAAAAATCCAGAAGCATCCTACAAAATTGAAATTTCATAAGTTTTAGTAATTGTCTAATGCCTTCTTACTTTCACCACCAAAAGTTTTAATAGTTAAAAAAGGAAAAGAAAAAGAAAAAGCATTGAAATGGGTTATTATTATTCCATTCAAATTCATACGTTCAACCACATCCGTTGCATTTAATTGAAAATTCTTCTAGGCCTCTACAAGTAAAATATTTAAAAATTTGGAATCAATACATAGAACTATATGCTTTGAGGAGGAAACTATCTGCTTTGTTGATTCCACTTTCTACTGATTCATATCAAATGGAAAAGAGAAACTTAACCATAGGAACTTAAAAACTGTAAGGGAAGAGTTTAGTTTAGGGGAGCAATGGGCTCCAATGCACATCACAATTGAATCCATTAAAGGTAAGAGAAAAAAAATTAAAAAAAAATAACCATCCATGACAGCTCATACGAAAAATTTCAAGAAACCATTTAATCAAACTATATCAGTTTCAATTGTTGAGCAACTGTATTGGTTGTGTTTGAATCTAGGATTTGTGGAGAGAAAAGATAAGGAAAGGAAAAAGATATAAAAAGAAAGAGAAAAAAAGCTTGGCAGCTTAGTTGCTAAGTACAGTGTCGGTCCACTTCTGACTGACTGTCCATAGAGAATCAAGTCTTCCTGGCTAATTCCATATTCTGTCTCGAGACATTCGTACATATGTATTGGATTCACTTAGCTAAATTCCATAAATAGAAAAGTCAAGTACCTGAAACTATCAATAGAACCAAACCATGACCTCATAGAAAACCAAAATAAGCATTCCAATTGGTCAGGATTACCAAAAAATAATAATAATTAAGGGAAAAAAATCCCATCATTCTTATGGCACCAAGAAACATTTTCAAACCCAAACATCAACTCAACAGATAAATTATTAGTCCGGCACATACCAACATCACACAGAATAAGAAAAGTGAAGTGTACAGTGATCAAGTGATCAAGTGATAATCATAATATTGAAACTGAATGTAATGTGTGACCATGTCTGAGAAATCTCTAACGCAAAATGCGATTAAATCTCCTGTCATAGCAATATAAAAACCGATTAGGGCTCAATTCCCCCAATTTATCGAAGAAATAGCATACACAAGACACAATTTGCGGAAACAAGTCGCATTGTGAATTGTCTGGAACCAAAAATAGCAAAAACATGTAATGTAATCATTCAATCTCCATCAAAAACCAGAGACACATTCATGGATATATATTTTAGAGAGAGAAAAAACCTTAAAATTGTTTCTCTCCCTGAAACTTCTTGTCTCAATCACCTCCCCTTGGTTATAAAGGAGTAAATTCATTGAGATAACACAAAGAATTCAAGAACAGATACCCAAATCAGAAGATTTTAGTGCTATATGACCAAAAACCAGTTGTCAATCTAAGCACTAATCCTTGTTTCAGAAAACACAACAAAACCAGTGATGGTTAATGTTCTTCAAAGATGTCTTAGATAAACATATAAAACTATATAAACACACATATGTAGTGAGATCATCGAATAAAGAGCAGAAATAGAGAAAAACATAGAACGATTATGCAACTAAAAAATATAAAACAACCATACTTGAGAGAAACATAACCCTAGATCATATCCGAATCATCCAAACCAAGCTCGAGCCATCATTTATGGAAGAGATGAGAACCTAGATCGCTGACGAAAATCAAAACCTAAGCAAGAGTTTATGTATAAATAGAACACAGATCCAGATCGTTACTGTGTAGTGATGAAAATATCTTAATCTTGAGTGAACTCACAGCAAGTCTAGATCAGACTCGATGAAGAACAAGCCCCAGAATGAAAATCAAAACCCTAATCAAATGTAAATAAAATAATTTTCAATAATAAATTTGAGCATCTATGAAAACTAGTAAATCGAATACAAGATTGCTACCATGAAAGCTATGTATCTCAAGTGAACTCAGCAACTCCAAATCAAGAGCAATTGGATACCTGAATCCATGAAAAACAAAGACCCAGATTGATAAAGACATCGAAAAATCGAAAGGAATCAAAGGAAAATATCAAATCCTAAGACCTAGTGCACAAATCGAAATCAAGATCCAGATTGGACAAGAAACTGTTGAGATTAGAAACATCAATCTCTTTGTAGATCTACAAACTCCAAGAAGTTCATTGCTGGTGACATCCACGGCTCATTAGGGCTAGTGAAAGAGAACAATTTTAGAGAGAGAGAGAGAGAGAACCATTTGGAAATGTTTGAATAGATATGGGGTTAAGTCTCTGTGAAGTTGAACAGACTTATCTCATTCAGACTCAAAGGGCATTAGGTGATATCACGCTTTGAAAAGCGCATTTGCCACTGAGATATATCATAACCTTTTTTAAAGTGCTTTGATCCTAGCGCCATTATAAGTTACTTTTTTTGTAGTGTAGTGGACCAATTTGCTTTTTTTAATTGGTGGCACATGAATATTCATGATGGAGTTTTTATAGCCAATCAGGTAAATAGGATTCGATTTTAAAGCTAGATTTTGAAAATACGTATATGATAGCATGGAATAAAATAAAGAATGTCCGAGTTTAGATTTATTGTCACCTTGTTTAGATTATATATTTAGATAAATATTTAAAATAATAAATTAAATATAATAATATTTCATCTATATTTTTCTTTTTCTTTTCAAATCTGGTCACCTTCAAACGAGTTGATTTGGTGGAAGACTTGCTTTTAAACTCATGAAAGGTACATTTGTTGCATTACTTTAATTATACCGAAAAGTTTTTTTGAGGAATGAGTATATTATTACTAAAACCAAGAAGAAAAAAAATGTCCCTTAATTACATTGGAAAGTGAAGAGTAACTTGACTTGAAGGGCTAAAAATGATTAGGGTTTCTATAAAGTGATCTATGCCCTCTCACTTTCTGATTCATGCATATATGATTCATATGAAATATACTCTTCTAACTATTGGAAATATGAGGGATCACACATGCTAGAGAGATTGTAAGAGGGAAAATGAATTCTTTGTTGGAAGAACAAACTCAATTTGAATTTGAAGATGGTGAATTCCAGAGAAGAGAAGAAGCTGCCAGAGCATTCAAAAGTGAATAAGAGAAGTTCAAAATGAAGAAGAAAATGGAAGCAACTGGAAGGAAGAGGAAGCTTCAAGGAAGCTCTATTGATAAAGCTTAAGAAGGAAGACACATCGTAGCGCGCACACATGTTTGTGAAATCTATAAATAGATAGGTTATGTGGTTGTTTTAGAAATAGTGGGAGAAGAAATGTAATTTCCAGGGAGAAACATAACATCTCGAGGAGTGGGAGAGCGACAATATCAGGAGTGGGAGATTTCTAAGAGAGTGGAGAGTGTATGAGAGTTTACAGAGAGATTTGCTTTGTTTTGTATAATTTGTTTGAGTTTGAATAAATGGAGTTTTTATTCAATTGTATTCCTCTCTTTGTGAATCACCACAACTAAATTCTAGAGAAGAGAAAAAAAAACTGTTAGAGTATTCAAAAGTGAAGAAAAGAAGTTCAAGATGAAGAAGAAAATGGAAGCAGATGAAAGGAAGAGGAAGCTTCAATGAAGCTCCATTGATAAAGCTTAAGAGAGAAAGACACACTGTAGTGCACACACACATGTTTGTGAAATCTATAAATAGATAGGTTGTGTGATTATTTTAGATAGAGTGGAAGAAGAAATGTAATCTCTAGGAAAAACATAACATCTCCAAGAGTGGGAGAACAACAACATCTCTAGGAGTGGGAGATTTCTAAAAAGGCAAAGAGTTTGAGAGTTAACAGATAATTTGCTTTGTTTTGTATAATTTGTTTAAGTTTAAATAAAATGAATGTTTATTTAACTAATTCCTCTCTTTGTGTACCATCACAACCGGTATGCACCCCCCTCCCACTTTCAACATTCTTAACTCTCAATATTTGATTCCACTTCTTTAGAACACTTAGATACATGAGGTATTTATAGACTAATAAACAGACCAATACATCTTCTACATCCAGTGTGCCATACAAGAATCTTCCTAGATATATTCATTCTGGGAATACATGAACTTCAAAAATACATGAATATCGACAATACATGAACAATACATAATAGTTACTTCTAAAAATATGTAAATTAATTGAACTAAAATCATGTTTATTATTTCTAACACTCAAGAGTATAAACACCATATAGTTTAATGGAGGAGGAAGTGAAGCTTCACTTTAACAAGTTCTATGTTCTTGTAGTTGTAGAACCTTTCTTTCTTTTTTTTAATTTTTTTTTATTTATTAAATAAATTACATTAACCTTCCTTGAGATTTGAAAAAATACAACCAACCCCATACTTTTAACATAATTTACACTAACTTCTCTTTTATTGTGTCCTTTTTTATTTTTGTTTTTTTATTTTGGAATATTTGTTTGTTACATACAGGGAGTTGTAGTAGTATGTAGAGAAGATAGACCATGGATGAAAAGACACTTAAAAGTATCTTATTTTTTGATCAACGAATCACTTGCTTAGAGCATCTCCAACGGTTCACCAAACATTTCATCAAATCTGAGTAAAAATATAACCAATTCCTCTATTTGATATCAGACACTCCAACAGTAACTACTGTAGCTTTCATCAAACCATAGGACTTCTGGGGGGTCGACTAGCCAGTCGACCGGCAAGAGAAAAATTAAATTATTTTTTTTAAAAAAAAAAAATTTGCTTTCATTTCTGTCTCCTCAATTCAAACAAGAATTCTTTAGAATATCCACTATGAGAATTCTCACTGGGGACAAAGCATAAATACCTAACAGACAATTTATAATTTGTGCAAAAACAAATATGAATACAATTAAGCAAACATAAAAACAAATCAGAGTAACTGAGAACCAAAAACCAGAAAATGGACTCTTTTGAAAAAGATTGAATAACTATTAATTAAGAATACGTGTATATACATATGCAGTTAACAAGAACAAAACATGGAAAGATTGAGGAATTGAAAACTAACCGTCATGCAAAGAAACAACATTTAGAGGATACCCATTTGAGGATTTGAGCTCAAAATGCTTTCTTGAGTGGCTTCTTGAGCTATTCTGGGATACCTATTTGGAGGAATATGTTCTTCATGGGACAATGATGAATTTTGTGCAGAGATGTGTCTTATGATTGAATGAAGAGGTTGAGAAAGTGGATAAAGAAGAAGAACATGGACTGAATTGTGTAGCCATGAAATTGAGTGTAACCGTCATGCAAAGAAACAGCATTTAGAGGATACCCATTTGAGGATTTGAGCTCAAAATGCTTTCTTGAGTGGATTCTTGAGCTATTCTGGGATACCTATTTGGAGGAATATGTTCTTCATGGGACAATGATGAATTTTGTGCAGAGATGTGTCTTATGATTGAATGAAGAGGTTGAGAAAGTGGATAAAGAAGAAGAACATAGACTGAATTGTGTAGCCATGAAATTGAGTGATGATCAGAGAGAGAGAGAAACAGAAACTTAATGGATCAAAAAGAAAGAGACTAAATGGTTAGTGTTTTGATAGAGTGATTATAACAACCACCTCCTTAATTAAGTAAATTAATGAAGTAAATTATGTGATTAGTGTTGATTATGTGATTATGTGCTAATTGTGAATTACGTGCCATGTGTTTTATGGATTGACTTGATTTGTATTGTAGTGTTACTGTAAACAGGTATCTGAGGAGATGAAATAAACCTGTCTGATTCGCTAATTTTAACAAGGTAGAATTAAATTTTGGGATAGGCAATTAGAGCCTAATTCACATTAGTAAAATTAAAATTAGTTTGATTTAAGTCATAAATGTTGGGGATTAATTTAATTTGAGTGAATTTGATTTTAATTAATTTATCAACCTAATTAATTTAGGTCTAATGTATGTATGAGAAAAGAGTTAGTGTACTACTACTCATCAATTGAATAGAGGAGAGAAGTGTAGTGGAGTTTCTTGCACCTAGATAGACATACACGAAGAGAGAGAAGAGGGAGAGACTTTGAGAATTCAACAAAGAGAATGAAGAGAAGAAAAGAATAAGGGTGAGGAAGAACATTGAAGAAAAACAATTAGCTTTTCACAGTTCATCAATTTAAGGTGAGATTTTCATTCACATTTCTTGAAATTAAACTTCCCACACTCATCATCTTCTAAGACAAAGGGTCAATTAGGATGAATTCTTGGTTAATTGGGAGCTTTAATGTTGGAATTGACAAAGTAGAACATGCAAGAAGTTAGGAAAGAATTGAAGGAAATTGGCCTTAAATTCAACATGTATGGCATGATTATATGATATTTTTGTTTACACATATATTTTCTTGCATGAACTTCATGAATTCTCTAAGTTTTAAAGAGCTTTCATCATGAAGTTTGGACTTGGAAGTTTGAAACACATGGTTCATAGTTTATAATAGTTTTGGAGTCTTTGATCAACTAATTGGAAGAATTAATTCTAGTTTTGGGCATGCATGATTTTATTGTGTTCATACTCATTACTTCTTGCATGGGTTTTCAATTTGCAAGGAAATTCCATGGGATGTGAAGTTTTAAAGTTCAAACATGTATATCTATGTCTATACATTTCATTTCAAAAAGTTTACTTGGTTTTCATGGGAAAAATTGAGTTGAATTAAAGTCATGATTTATATTTGATGTTAGAATTCGTAAGTCCAGGTCATTCTCATGGATTTTGAGTTGAATTGTATGATAATAAAGTTGAAATTTGTGAAGAAATGCATTGCCATAACAGAGCAAATTTCGGACTGTTTTGGACCAGCACCGCAAGTGTGGCTTGGGGCACCGCACGTGCGGCTTGGGGCCCTGAACATGCGGAAAACAAGGCAGATTTTAGAAGCATTCTGCTTAAATTGCAGGTGTGGGAGGCACGTGCAGAGATGGTCCCGCACGTGCGGCAGCTAGGGTGGTACCAGTTTTGTTTTCGCTCCTCTTTTCTACCTTTTGGGTCTCCGTTTGCATGGTTTTAAAGTGCTTTCATGTGCATTTGCATCTCATGAACACAAATGAATGTAGAACGAAAGTTAGAACCGAATGATTGAACAACGAATAGAAATCGATCAAGTAAACAATGAACTGAATAGAAATAGAAATGATTGAATAACAGAATGGCATGATTATAATTGAGTTGTGCTTGAATCTATTTTTTTAGATTAGACGCCGTAATTTTAGTGCATTTACGCACGTATATCGAGGAGCCCACTGTGAGTAACAATGTCGTAAAGCTATGTTCAATTATAGTTATTTTCTGATTGATTGACTGTACTACTTTCTGAAATGATATTGTTTATTGAATGAATGTTGTCCTACTTTTGTAAATTATACTCTTGGCATCCATAGTAA